TTTACGTTTGAATTATTCGAAAAATGTATAACAAGTTTTTTTTTTTAACAAATAACTTTTGAGGGAAAAATGGACATTTATATAACAATAACAAATGAAATTTATAAAGTAAATCGTTCAATTTGATAATTTAATAATGTACAATATGACTCATACTATTGTAAAAAATATTCTTTTTGAAATGCTGTTGAAAATTTTATCCAGAGATAATATAGGTGGCAGCAATTACTGCACGTAATGGCATGTAAGCATTTGTACAAAGATATATTTAACAGTTATTAAATGTATAAAGGATGAAAAATAATGGTCTATGTCAACTGATAAATGTCATGATATAATTATATTTTTTTAATGAAATTGTATGTAACAAAAATGTAAGTAAAAACACATTATTTTGTTTAATTGTGATGGTTTCCATGAAACTCACTCGAAATGAAATTTTGACATTCTTCTTTAAGCTTACTCGTCTGATTCGCCACTTCTGGTTCTAACACACGGATCTTACTCAAATCATCAATGTAAATTCCATACTGTGCTAAAGAGTCAGCCATTTTCTTAAATAAACAAACGATTAACTCGTGGGTAGATGCGCCTGCGCATATCCTTAACTAGTCCGTTCCTTCGTACTAGTCACTCACCAAAATGGGAGAACGATAGAGTGTACTTTTTATCAAGTAGCAAGATAGAAAAGAGCAGTGAATTCTATTGTTTAACAAGATATTAATGTTTATAATAAGTCTAATAAATGCCACATAAAATATCTTTATATTGATTATCATTTGTTGCTTGCGTTGTAGCTCAAGAAACACAACGCTTTGTTCTTTCTCTGTTATATTTTGGATTTAACATTTAAAAATCGATATACTCTTTTATTTGAATATTCATTGACATTAATATCTAACAATCTCATATATCTTCATCGTTCTTCGTTATGTCCGGAAATCACAAAGCGGGAATTAAATATCCTTCGGAATACGTCAAACTCAATATCGGCGGTTCCTTGCACTACACTACCTTAGGCACACTTCAAAAACATGACACTATGTTACGTGCTATGTTTAGCGGCCGCATGGAAATTCTCACAGATCCCGAAGGTGAGATTTTTTAGATTTAATGTATTTATTAAATATTATTTATAATTTTCATTATTTTAT